GTACAAGCTTCTTCCAAAGCATACGGCTTTCTGGATGTAGATGATGATATCTATACAGATGGATCTTATATATATCGTATAATGAAGTACCACATGGGTGGATATATAGGAATCCAAATCTGCCGAATCACTCATGTTATATATATATATATATATATATATATATATATATTATCTGGCTTATATTCTTCATGTAGCATTCAAATTGAATGACTCTATGAAATTACGCCGATACTTCCACATATTATGGGTAAAGTAGGAGACATCTCTATTTTTCCCTTGAAAATCTTTAGAATTACCACTGCTTAGCTTTCAACTCGTCTCTGACCATCAAATGAAATGTGAATAACCCGTCCTCCTCTCTTTGAAAGAAGGAGTGCTTTCCGATTCTGTAGGTGCTTGAAACAATTTTGTCTTCTCCATATCACTATATCTCTAAAGTCAATAATTTTATATGAGGAACTACTGAACTCAATCACTTGCTGCCATTACTCTTTAGTTTTTTGTTGAGGTCTATCCTATAGAAGTACTCAAATTAGATCAGTGATCAATTTCTAGGTTTTGTCGTAAACCTAATTGGTTATTTCCAATTACGTAAATCAATGATATATATATTGGATCAGATTTTTATTGGATCGATTTTTCATGTATCCAAATCTAAATTCATTTAAAGAAACTTAACCAGAATCGTGTAAACAGATTAAAGTATTAATCTATATTTGGTTAAATGAACTAGAATTCGAATTAAAATTCACTCAATTGACAGGCCTACCACCCACCAATGGCACAACCACCTGCCCACCACCGCCCACTATTGTCCACCCACTGCCACCCCTATCCATCATCAATGCCCACCATGCACCACTCAAAACAGTGAAAAATTAGTGAACACAAAAATATTAAAAAAATATAAAAAATAAATTTTAATATAATAAAACTCATAATTTACAAAATTTTCAGAACATAGTGAACTTTAATATATTGAAACTCTTAACTCACAAAATTTTCACAAATTGTAAACTTTAATAAAATAAAACTTCTACTTCAGTATACAA